GAGTATCTGCCGTCTGTCATCATACAGCACTGTTACAGTATCATTGATTATATTCCCTATGCTGTACATTTTATTCCCATGACTTATTCATTCCATAACTGTAAGCCTGTATCTCCCACCTCCTTTCATGCCTTGTGCCCATTCCCTCCACCCCAGCAGTAAGTCTTAACCCTGACTGCAATTAGAATCATTTGAGGAGAGGGGAGAGCCACCTGGGTGGCTCAGTGGGTTAAGCCTTTGCCTTTGGCTCAGGTCATGATCTCAGGGTCCTGGGATCAAGCCCCGCATCAAGCCCTGCATCAGACTCTCTGCTCAGCAGGGAGCCAGCTTAACCCCCCACCTTTCTCTGCCTGCCTCTCTGCCTATTTGTGATCTCTCTCTAACAAAAAAAAAAAAAAAGAATCACTTGAGAAACTTTCAGAGATTATAGACCATACACTAAAACAGTTAAACCAGAACTTCTGGGACCTAGTTTTCTTTTGTTTTTCCTTTTCCTTCTTTTTTTTTTTTTTTTTAAGTAGGCTCCCAGCGAAGCCCAGTGTGGGGCTTGAACTCATCACTCCAAGAACAAAAGTCCAACGTTCAACCAACTGAGGCACCCAGGCACCCCATCATTTTGTTTGTTTGTTTTTTAAGTCCCTCAGAGGATTCTAATGTGCAGTGAGGGTCAAGAGCTACTCAACTAGGAGAATGAGCCAAAAGATGGGAAAGAACTAATATTTAATACTAAACACCTACTGTATATGAGATTTTGTTCCAAATGCTTTATTCAATGGCTATAATCTCTCTATCTTAGGAAATGCATATATACAGTATCCTGACCCACTTCTACCATTTTGAGCCCTGTGTGGTGAGCAATCATATTATTCCTAGCCTTCAAGGTAGATATTATAATTGTATAATCCCTATTTTACCAATGAGGAAACTGAGGCACAGACCAGTGAAATAACTTGTCTAAGATTATCACATCAGTAGCTACAACTGGATTCACCTATAAGTCTTTCTGATACTCCCAGTTCATGCTCTTTGCACTATACACCATTGCCTAGTAGCCTAGCTTAATTCTAGAAGAATCCTGAAGTAAGTCTCATGATCCTCATTTAACAGATGAGGAAATGAGTTCTGGACAGGTTAATTTGAATAAGTCACAGCTATTAGGTGGAGAGGCTGGGAGGTCTTTAAACTCAGACTTGTTTAACACCAACTACATGCCCATGAAAGTAAAATATATAGCATACACTCAACATTCAATACAATTCATTGCTCTGCAAGAACAGAGGTGTGAAGGATTATTAATATAATCCAGAATAATATTCTTTTTTAAAAAAGATTTGTTTGTTTGTTTGATAGAGAGAGGGACAAAGAGAATGCGGGAGGAGCAGAGGGAGAGAGTCTTAAGCAGACTCTGGTTGTGGACCCTGACACTGGGCGTGATCCTACGACCCTAGATCATGACCTGAGCAGAAACTGAGAGTTGGAGGCTTAATGATTGAACCACCCAGGTGCCCTCAGCTAAACCTTTGTAAAGAGTTGGCTTCATCACAGTCTCCCCCCACGACCGTTATCAATTCAATCATCTCCATCAACCATGCCATTAAAACTGATATTATCAGGGTTACTAGTAACCTTCTCAGCCTCTCAACAGTCTTTGAAACAGCTTATCACTACCTTCTTCGTGAAATTACTTCTGGCTTTGGTAACACAATATTCCTTGTCTTCTGTCGCTGATTCCTTCTTCTCAGACTTTTGTTTTATAGGTTTATCCTCCTCTACCTGATCTCTAAATATTGGAGTACTCTTAAGGGTCAGTCCTGTGTCCCTTCCTCTTCTCTATTCACACCATCTCTCTAAGTGATTGCCTTTTCATGATTATGCTTTTTTATGTTTTATTTTATTTTTTCATCATGACAAGTTTACTCTTTAATCCCCATCCCCTATTTGTGCCATCCCCCTCAACCAACTCCCCTGTGGTAACATCAGTTTGTTCTCTATAGTTAGGAGTCTGTTGGGGTGCCTGACTGGCTCAGTTGGTAGAGCTTGCAACTCTTTTTAATTAAAAAAATATACCCCCAAATTTAAAATATATATTTAAAAATAGAGTCTGTTTCCTGGCTTATCTCTCTGATTTTTTCCTTTGCTCATTTGCTTTTTAAAATCTAGCATATAAGTGAGATCATATAGTATTTGTCTTTCTCTGACTGACTTATTTTGCTCAGCATTATACTCCCTAGCTCCATCCATGTTGTTGTAAATGGCAAGATTTTTTTATGCCTGAATAATATTCCTGTGTGTGTGTGTGTGTGTATCCACATCTTCTTTATCCATTCTTCTATCAATGGACACTCAGACTGCTTCCATACTTTGACTATTGTAAGGGGGTTTTTAAAAGATTTTATTTATTTGACAGACTGAGATCACAAGTAGGCAGAGAGGCAGGTGGGGGGATGGGATATAGGCTCCCTTCTGAGCAGAGAGCCCCATGCAGGGCTTGATACCAGGACCCTGGGATCATGACCTGACCCGAAGGCAGAGGCTTTAACCCATTAAGCCACCCAGGCACCCCCAAAACTTTGGCTATTGTAAGTAATGCTGCTATAAACAGGTGCATGTATCCCTTTGAGTTAGTGTATTTGCATTTTAGAGGTCAATACCCAGTAGTGTATTCCTGGATCATAGGGTAGTTCTATTTTTAATTTTTTGAGGAACCTCCATACAGTTTTCCATAATGACTGCACCAATTTGCATTTCTACCAAAAGTGCAAAGGGGTTCCTTTTTCTCCACATCCTCACCAACACTTCATTTCTTGTGTTTTCTATTTTAGGCATTCTGACAGGTATAAGGTAGTATCTCACTGTAGTTTTGATTTGCATTTCCCTGATGATGAGTGATGTTGAGCATCTTTTCATGTGTCTGTTGGCCACATGACCATGCTTTTAGATATGCCACCACTGATATAGGGATTGGGTTCTGAAGTCAGCGCATAAAGAGAAGAAAACTCATGAAGCAGAATTATTCTTGGAAATTCCTTAAATCACCTACGCAGTCTGGTAGTTGTGGTTTCAAACATGTTGATTTTATACATGATTGTGGCCATATTTATGTGCTGAACTGCCAACACTTCATCTCCTAATAAGCTTTAAGTCAATTCTTTTCCTCTCATGTTGAGATAAGCTGTTTTTATGAAGCAACGGGTGAAGTACTTGGGGCTTTCACTTAGGGACTGTGTTTCATGAAAAATACTTATTCTTCAAGAGTGGACACAAATGGAACAGCAAGATTCTCCCAGTAGGAGAGGAAATCAGGAGTTGAATCCATCTGAGAATATAAGAGATTTACATTTCCCATCCTGTGCTTACTCCACACTTTTCTTGAACGTAAAGGAATTACGCACACTATTTAGAGTATTTCTAAATTAACTGCTTTTTAGATCGTATTCCATTGAACTATTTATATTTTGACAGCTCCTAAATGTATTTCTCCAGACTTGATGTTTTCCCTTGGGATTCAGACTTATAGAACCAACTGCCTCCTTGGACTTCTCCATATAACATCAGCTAGGCATCTTCACATGTCCAAAACATAGCAATTGATTCCTCACCACCACCACCACCACTCCCGTGCCTCATCCTCACCAAAAAGCTGTTGTTCTTCCATGATGGTTCCTAGCGCAGTAAATGGCATACCATCTACCCAGAGTTTTAAGCAAAAAACCTAGAGCAGTCTGTGTGATTCCTGCCTTTCCCTCACCTCCACTTAAAATCAATCTGGTGCATTTATCTCTACCTCCAAATATTATCCCAAATCTATCCATTCATTTCCATCAGCACAGAGACCCACCCTAATCCAAGCCAACATCATAATTTTCTACTTTGACTAGCTTCCCTCTTTCCGCTCTTAGCCTTTCTACGATTCATAGCCTTTCTACGATTCATTCTCCAAATAGCCAGAGTAAACTTTTATAAAACATTCACTCATTCAGTCACCAAATACTTATGGAAGAGTGCACAGAAACTGGGAATACAGCAGTGAAGCAAATTAGATCCCTGTGCTCATAAACTTTCATTCTAGAATGGGGAAAGGCGATGCCTAAGTGAATAATTTTTTACAGTACAAATACAGTGAAGAAAATAAGTATATAGTGATATGCTAAATCATGTTGTTATCTCAGTACAAAAAAAATTAATACCTTCATAGTGAGCTTAGATTAAAATCCAAATTCCTTACCATGACCTTGTTATTAGATTCTATGAGATCTGATTTCTATTTACCCCTTCAACCTTATCTGTACCACATTTCCTCATTAGAACTTGGCTCCGGTCACCTTGGCCTTCTATTTTCTCACTGTTCCAAACTTTTCCCCCTCTTATGTGTTTCCTCTTTGTGGAATGCCATGTCCCAGATCTGGGAAAGGCTGCCTTCTCTTAGCTCAAATATCACTTCTCCAGAATGAACCTGACTAATCAACCTCAAAGTGGATCCCCATCCTTTCTCTATCAATAACACCGTTTTATTTGTTTCAAAGCACTTTCCACTTTCAGAAATGATCTTGCTTACTTAACAGTATCTTTGTCTCCACTAAAATGTTAAGTTTCCTCAGAGGAGGAATCTTAAGGTGTTGTTCACCGCAGTACCAGTCCAGAATAGTGCCGGGCATAAGAGAATCTTGATAAATATTTCTTTTTTATATATAAGATTTTATTTATGTATTTGACAGAGATCACAAGTAGGCAGAGATGCAGGCAGAGAGAGAGGAGGAAGCAGGCTCCCTGCAGGGAGCCTGACGTGAGGCTCGATCCCAGGACACTGGGATCATGACCTGAGCCGAAGGCAGAGGCTCAACCCACTGAGCCACCCAGGCGCCCCTTGATAAATATTTCTTGAAAGAACAAATAACAACAGGGTAAAACCACCCGGTTTCTCACAGCCGCCAGACTCCGCCCCCCAGAACCACTTCCGCCCACGGTCCGGCCTCAGACCTTCTGAGGGAGGAAGTCCTCTGCGCAGGCGCCGTGGGACCGCGGTGCTTTCTGGGTAAAAATGGATGCTCACGATCTCTTTCGCCGGCTTGGCGTGGGGGCCAAATTCGACGTGAAACGTTTCTCTGCGGACGCCGCGCGATTCCAGGTACTGTACGTAGGAAGTCAGAAGCCCGAGTAACTGCGTGGCGCAGGAGCCAGAGAATGACCCGGCTACTGGGAGAGCCGGCACTGGGAGACCGTGGCCTAGTAGTGGGAAATGTTCCTCTGCGGTTGGGCTCGTGCGCAGACCTACCAGGTCCTGTCCTGCCTTTGAAGTGAACTCTTACCTTGTTTTGTAGACTTCGGTGGGCCTAGCACAGAAATTCTTCTCCCTGCCCTCATTTTAGTTTATTCAAAGCACAGTTAGAATCCTTTCGAAAAGTACCTTTTTCTCCGAAACAGGTAGGAAGGAATCTCGAAAACAGAATGAATCCAAAATGAAGAGAACAGATTCTTTCACTGTAGTGTACCCAGGTTGGCTTGGCATATACATATACCTTTAGTGGGCATGGGTCTTTTTATTCCTGTAACTTCCTGACATGTTAAGTAACCAATGAGAAGAGCGACTTAGAAATGGGGACTCTTATATAGGAAAATAGTGGGTGAATGATAAATCGGGAGTAGTTGGGGCCCAGTTATGTAAAAATCTTCAATATCAACCCTGATACTGAGCAACACGTCTGTTTCTCCTTTCTCTGGCGGTAGGTGTAGTTGTTAAGAGTCTGAACTCTTGAGCCGGATTATTTGGGTCCAAATACTGGGTGTGTCAGTTACAACTTTGGAGACCTTAGACAAGTTATTTGACCTTTTTTTTTTTTTTAAGATTTTATTTATTTATTTGAGAGAGAGACAGTGAGAGAGAGCATGAGCAAGGAGAAGGTCAGAGGGAGAAGCAGACTCCCCATGGAGCTGGGAGCCCGATGCGGGACTCGATCTCAGGACTCCGGTATCATGACCTGAGCCGAAGGCAGTCATCCAACCAACTGAGCCACCCAGGCATCCCAGTTATTTGACCTTCTAATGCCTTGATTTTTTTCATCTGTAATACCCATATTTTTTTTTACTTTTTTTTTGTAATTTTTTTTCAGTGTTCCAAGTTTCATTGTTTATGCACCACCCTCAGTGCCCCATGCAATGCTAACCCACCACCAGGCTCACCCAACCCCCTGCCCAAAATCCTCAGTTTGTTTCTCAGAGTACACAGCCTCTCAAGGTTCCTCTCCCCCTCTGATTTCCCCTAACTCACTTCTCTCCTTCTCCCAATGTCCTCCGTGTAATATCGCTATTTACCCCTTACCACTGTTGAAGGACGAAGTAATTTAGTATATATAAGCAAGCTTAGAAGTCTGCCTGACAGCATGTAGGTGTTACGCTAATAAGCATATAGATGGTAATTGCTTTCATGATAATTACTACTTTGAAAAGGTCAGAAAAGTTGTTGTCTTGTATTTCATTTACTCAAACACACTTGGCAGCTCAACAAATACTTGGGGAAAGGGTTAAAAAAAAAGTGGGGAGTTATTAGACCCATGCCCCTACTGCCAGTACTGCTTGGGTGAAAGCAATGTCAGTCTGTCAGTAGATTGCATTTTAAATTTTTTGGGTTGTAGGTAGGAAAAAGGAAACATGATTTTGATTCTTCAGAGATTCTGCAGGGACTGGACTTCTTTGGAAACAAGAAGTCTGTCCCAGGTGAGTGTGGATTATCAAGAACTCATCAGGAGCTTCAAGATGAAGAGAAAAAAAAAGAGAGTCTAACTGAAAAGAAGAGGGAACAGAACAAGAAAAAGAGGAAAATGATGTTATCAGGTTTGTTCTTGTTTTTTTTTCCTTTTTATTTCTTTTTCAATTACAAAAATAATACAGGCTTAAGGTTACAAATCAGACAGTATTCTGTCATTCATTAGTTAATGGCATTCAGATTGTTTCTAGATATTTGCCATTACAAATATAGCTACAATAAAGATATTTGTGTATATATCCTTTTGTACAGGTCCTCGTATTTCTGTAATTAGCATCCCCAAAGTGGAATCACTGGCCCAAAGGGTATGCACACTTCTGTCTTTGAACAGATAATGAAAAATGACTTCCCACGCCTGTCAATGCTGGATAGTACTGATCTTAAATTCTTTGTCAACCTAATGAATGAAACTAATTTTTGTTTATATTTTCTTGATAACTGGTGAGGTTGAGTATGTTTTCATATGCTTTAGTGGATATTTACATCTCAGCATTTGTGAATTGTCTATTCTTACTCTTTACCTACTTTTCACAGGGTTTTTTTTTCTGTACTTTAGGGATATTGATCTTTTACTTTGTTTTATCTATTAAGTTTCCATTTACCATTTTCAGTAAAGTAAATACTTACACCTGGTTTTTAAGTTATAAAGTGGTGAAAAGCAAGTTTTCTTCCTACTACTTCTAATCCCTTTTTTCTCCAGAGGCTACTGCTGTTAATCATTTTCTTAAATATTTTTAGAAAGATACCTATTCACTGTATTTATACCTCCCTTAAAAAACCTGAACAATAGCATACTATATGTGTTGTTCTATTCTGAACCTTCCCTCCTCCTCCACTACACACACACACACACACACTCACACTCACACACTCACACACACACATACATATATCTTGGAGATTGTTTGGAATCAGTAGGCAGTGCCCTGCCTTTTTCATCTTAACGCAAAATATATCCCATTATACCTTCCATAATGGATTTAACAAGTTCCTTTGTGATGGACATTTAGTTTGTTTCCTCACTTTTGCTATTACAGTGTTGCAGTAAATGCCATCCCATTTATCTTTGTGTGTATGAGGGGTATATCTGATAAATTCTTAGAAATGGAATTTCAGAGTTAACCAATAAGTTTAAGTTTAGGTATTTTAGAACTGTCCATCAGGAACATTGTATCAGTAGGAAGTCCAGTGCTTTTTTCATTGAATCATAGTGTAGTATACCATTACACATTATAGGAATGTTCTGTAATTGACTTGACAAGTCCATGTGTTATGGACATTGACTTCAGTTCCACACTTTTGCTGTTACAGTGTTTCACATTTTACTTCCCTGACTTTGATAAAGCCTTCCACCAAGATTAGGAAAAACAAAACAAAACAAAACAAAAACCTGCCACGAACTCGGGAAAAGGATTCAACTGTTGGGCAACCAGAAACACAGATATGTACTATAATGTAGCACATATGTGGCATAGAACAGAGTAATGTGGCATACCATGTTTTGATTGGTCAACTTTTCTCCCTAACGTGATCTATAGAATCAGTGCAAATCAAACTCAATTAAAATTCCAGAGGCTTTCAGAGTAAAAATTGACAAAGGATTTTTTTTTTAAGTTAAGACATACACCTACCATAAAACCCATGTATTCCATAAGAATGTACCTAAGAGGGGCGCCTGGGTGGCTCAGTGGTTAAAGCCTCTGCCTTAGGCTCAGGTCATGATCCCAGGGTCCTGGGATCAAGTCCCGCATCGGGCTCTCTGCTCAGCAGGGAGCCTGCCTCCTCCTCCTCTCTCTCTCTCTGCCTGCCTCTCTGCCTACTTGTGATCTGTCTGTCAAATAAATTAAAAAAAAAAGAATGTACCTAAGAGAAAGAAAAACCTGTGTCCTCACAAAGACTTCTACACAGGTGTTGATAGCAGCTTTATTCTCAGTAGCAAAAACTGGAAATGACCCAAATGTCCTTCAGTAGGTGAAGGGTAAACAATGTATATATCCATACAGTAGAATACTACCTTTAAATTAAAAGTTAACTATTGATACATGGTCCAACATGGATGAATCTCAAAATAGTTATTCTGAGTGAAAGAAGCCAAACTTAATTTAGTACATACTACATGATTCCATTTATATAAAATTCCAGAAAAAGCAAGTTGATCTACAGTGACAAAAAGCAGATAGGTGGTTGCTTAGGGATGGAGAAGTGCATTATAAGGGGCCACAAGGAGATTTTGGGTGGTGATGAAAATAAACTTGAATGTAGTGATGATATAATAGATGTATACATATGTCAAAATTCCTCAAGCTGTATGCTTTAAATAAATGCAATATATTGTATATCAGGGGTACCTCAGTGAAGTGAAAGAAAATTTAAAGAAATACCAGAAGTGGTCTTGCTCATTGCTCTTCTTAGAATTTTTAAGGTTATTCTTAACATATTTACTTTGCCGCTTGAACTTTTTTTTTTTTTAAGATTTTATTTTATCCATTTTAGAGAGAGAGGGAAAAAGAGAGAAAAGTGTGAGTGGGGAGGGGCAAAGGGAGAGGGAGAAAGAACCTGAAGCAGACTCCATACTGAGTGCAGAGCCTAACTTGGGTTTCAGTCCCACAACCGTGATATCATGATCTGAGCTAAGACCAAGAGTTGGATGCTCAACCGACTGAGCCACCCAGGCGCCCCCTCCACGTGTACTTTTCAAGTCAGCTAGTCTGGTTTCCAAAACAATCCTGCCATGACTTTTCATTGAACTAATTTTATAGCTTAGTGAAAATTGCTATCTTTGTATTAGTGACTAGTCCTTAAGTACTGTGCTATGTTTATCACTATTATAAGTGAAATCTATTCTCTCATCATATTTATTTTATAACTGGTTGAGTATAGAAAAGCCAACTGCCTTATTGAAATCTAAGTATTTTCAATATAATCTGTTAACTGTTTTCAAGTACTACAGTCATCTACATATCACATAGCTGAAATAATGGACGAAAAGAAGAGAATGAGCTTCAGAGCTTTGATTTTACCAACAGGGAACTTGCCTCTCCTTTTCCAATTGTTATTCCTCCTATTATTTTCTTTTCCGTGTTGTATTAGTTAGTACTTTACTTTTGTTCTGTGTGATGCTATGGCCTGTTCGCTACTCTCAAGAATGTTGCACTTAAAAATCTTTTAATTTTTTAATGTATATTTTAGAAACTACTTCTCAAGAAGAAGGTTCTACTATACAGTGGATATCATCTGTGGAAGCAAAGATTGAAGATAAAAAAATTAAAAGAGAAAAGAAGCTAACTTCAGGAAAGTTGGAGAATCTTAGAAAAGAAAAGGTTAGAAAAATGTCTTAGCCCCACTTGCTTTTTTGACCTACTGAATTTTTCCTTGTCCTTTGGTTATTCTTTTGGTAAAAGTGAATATAGTTTTGTGAAGACAGAAGATTAATTATATTAGTTTAGGTATCACTTTAATGAAAAATTAGGTATTTGTGCTGTGGCTAAAAATTTTTAAGTTTAAAAAATTTTTTCTTAAAGATTATTTATTTATTTGACAGAGTGAGTGAGAGAGAGAGCACAGGAGTAGGGGCAGAGAGAGAGGGAGAAGCAGACTCCCCTGCTTAGCAGGGAGCCCAATGTGGGGCTCAATCCTAGGACCAGGATCATGACCTGAGCCAAAGGCAGATGCTTAACCAACTGAGGCACCCCTAAAGTTTAAAGTTCTTCAAAGTATCTTAAAACTTGAACAGGTCAAAAGAGATGTGTGTATGTATATACACACAATTCTCATATACTGTATAGTATGAATTTTTGACCTGTCCAAATTCCAAGACTGATGATTTACTTAGAATGAAATTTTTAAAATAATCATATCCCCTTTGATAAACATAAAATTTGCCCCTTTTCTCCTCTTTGTTAGGCTCATTGGTTCATTTATTTATTTTTTTAAACAATTTTATTTATTTGACAGAGAGAGAAAGAGCACAGTCAGTGGGAGCAGCAGCACAGAGAGAAGCCAGGAGAAGGAGAAGCAGGCTCCCTGCTGAGCAGGTTGCTTATTGGTTTAGAAAGATTTCCTCTGACAGGGATTTGAGAGTTAGAATTCTTTTTTTTTTTTTTTCTTTAAAGATTTTATTTATTTATTTGAGAGAGCAAGAGCAGAAGCCAGGTGGAGGGGGAAAGGGAGAAACAGACTCCCTGTTGATCAAGGAGCCTGACTCTGGGCTCCATCTCAGGACCCGGAGATCATGACCTAAGCCAAAGGCAGATGCTTAATAGACTGAGCCACCCAGGTGCCCCAAGACTTATAATTCTTAAGAAATCTATGTTATACCTTGGGGGAGTAGAATACAGAAGAAATAACAAACACATCATTTTCATGTCTGCTGCACACCTGCTGTGTTGCAGATGGAAAGTATTGTTCAGCTCACTTCAGTAACCCTGAATCCAGAATTTGGCTGTCACTCACACAGAATGGGAAAACAAACCATATCAGCAGCACTTGACTCTGCTTTCGGCCCTCAATTTTAATAAACAGAGTGTAGAGTAAATCATCAAAAAGTTTTGGCACTTGTGTGCTAAGTGTCATATAAAGAAAAAAACCAGATGGATTCAATGTCTGCCTTGTAGAAACTTATATAAAATTCTAAGTTATGATTATCATCGTGGCACATTAATATAAATAACCATTACTCGTGTCACTGACATTAATACAAGAAGGTGGATAGATAGGTTTTATTGTTATGAAGGTCTTCTGTCTATGAAAGGGCATGAAGTGTATCTAATATCTGTACCTTTTAGGGCTTGGAATTTAACCAGAAAGTTTCATGTTATTAAAGCTTATCCTAGAAACTGCTACTTTTACCTTATAACATCTGACAATGTATGTGACCATATCTATGGTGACCTCTTTATCTCACTTTTCAGATAAACTTCTTCCGGAATAAACATAAAATTCACGTCCAAGGAACTGATCTTCCTGACCCAATTGCTACATTTCAGCAACTTGACCAAGAATATAAAATCAGTTCTCGACTGCTTCAGAACATTCTGGATGCAGGCTTCCAGATGCCTACACCAATCCAAATGCAAGCCATTCCAGTTATGCTGCATGTGAGTATGAAGGTCTAGAATGCCTCTAACGTTCCTTCCTCTGTGGAGGAAGTTCCTTCCTTAGCTCATTCTCTTCCCTGTTTATGAAGTCTTCTTTTTTACCTTATCTCTCCCTATTGAAACCTTCCTTTGCTTTTAAGGTCCATCTCATGCCTGGGGCCCCATATCACTACAATTAGATGTGATCTTTTTCTTTTACTAACATTCTTTTCTCTACTACCAGTTCTCCAAGGTATTTAGTGTGTTCTTTTTTTTGTTTGCAACATTTATCTAACACTTTATACTACTGTGCAGTTAGACTAGTTGTGTTTACCTTTTAAATTTTACTAGCGTGTAAACCCTCTGAGTTTAGGGACTATGTTCTGTTTATTCATCTGTGATTTAGCTTATTATTCCTAGGAACTATTTCAGAAATACAGAATTTTTGCACGTAGCCTGACTTCAGTCAGTACCTCCCAGTACTGTTTGTAATTGAAGTATGCCTTATATACAGTGAAATGCATAGATTGTAAGTTCACAGTTCAGTGAATTTCAACAGTGCATACTCTATATAACCATCTCCCCAAAGGAGACGTGTTATATTTCTGTCACCCCAGAAAATTCTGTTGTGCCCTTTCCATTCAGTCCTTACCTCACCCCTGTCCAGAGGAATCTGCTGGTCTGATTTCTATTGCCATACATTAGTTTTGCCTTTTCTATAGAATGTCATGTAAGTGGTAAAATCCATTATTTATTTTTTAATTTGTGGTTTCTCTCAGGCTGTGTATTGTTTTTGAGATTCATACATTTATAGTAGTTTGTCAGTGAGTAATATTCTCTTGTTTTAAAATACCAGAGGTAATCTACTGTTGGTAGAGGCATGGATTAACTTAGAGTTTTTAGGGGCTCCTGGGTGGCTCAGTGGGTTAAGACCTCTGCCTTCGGCTCAGGTCATGATCCCAGGGTCCTGGGATTGAGCCCTGCATCAGGCTCTCTGCTCAGCAGGGAGCCTGCTTCCCTCTCTCTCTCTGCCTGCCTCTCTGCCTACTTGTGATCTCTGTCTGTCAAATAAATAAATAAAATCTTAAAAAAAAAAAAAACTTAAGAGTTTTGAAAATTAAATCTTTCTGAGGTTTTTCTTGTCCTAATGAGAGCTGACTTTTTGTCCCATGCAGCCAAAGGATAGGAGTTACCTCTTCATCCATACTAGTTCTTTTTGTTTTCTTTGGGAACTGAAGTAAGAATATCTTTTTTTTTTTTTTTTAAGATTTTATTTATTTATTTGACAGAGAGAGATCACATAGGCAGAGAGGTACGCAGAGAGAGGGGGGAAGCAGGCTCCCCGGTGGGCAGAGAGCCCAGTGCGGGGCTTGATCTCAGGACTCTGAGATCACAACCTGAGCTGAAGGCAGAAGCTTAACCCACTGAGCCACACAGGTGTCCTGTAAGAATACCTTTGAATGATGTTGTTGCCTCCTGTTATAGTAAATTTGCTTTTAATTTTCATCTAAGATTGTTTCTGTTACAACTTCAGCTTAAAACTCTCAAAATCATAGTGATGTTTTGAAAGACTGTCACCTGTAAATTGTCACTCAAGTTATTGCCACTTTTTATTATCTTTAGCCATTCTTTTTTTTTTTTTTTTTAATAACAAAGAGATTTATTTTCATGTCACTGTCCTACTTTCTTCTGGCTGTCACTAACAACCTGACAGTGTGTCTCTACCACCCTTGATTCCTGCACTGTTCAACACACCAACAATCACAAAAATATCACCTTACTGTAGAGAGAAGTAGCTTTTTTCTAAAGCCCACTGGGCACAGCAGGAAGGTGACCAATTCCCTGGTCCCTCTCCTCTTCTGGCCCTTCTCTCGGGATCTCCATCCCATGGGTAAGGATCCACGCAGGAGGATGAGTCAGCCTCAGCCTCCTCTCGTGTGCAACTCATCCTCACCCCTGGATCCCCCCAGGGGAACAAAGAAAGAGGCTTCTGTTGTCCCATTTCTCAAATGGAGAGCCTTACAACCAACCAAGGTTTCAAACACAAAACCAAGCACATACAAAGCAATGTGGAGGCAGAGCTGTTTTTCAGGCACTTTCATTTCAGTGCCCCACTGGGAGGTGTTTCCCTGTACCGTCCTCATGACTTTTCATCATCTTCCACAATGGCAGAATTAGATGGAAGAATTAACAGAAATGAGAGAAGCAAAAAAACATCTAACCCTGTAGGAACAGCCTTCAACCCAAGTCCAGTGAGACAGGCTTGCAACAGTCCTGACACCCATCCCCCCACCCTCTATTCCTGTAGCCAAGCCCAAGCACTGACAACACCCGCCCTCTGGACATTCAGGAATCACAGCCCCTCAAGGGCCAGGTTCTGTGAAGACAGGCGGGAGTCCCCTAGGAGAGCTGGACCTGCCCTTGCTCATCAGGAGACAACCTGGGCTGGCACTGTGGGCACCACCATGTGAGCCTCTGGAAGCCACCCGGAGGCCCAAACGCCTCTCTCATGACCCAGTGTCCCCCAGGGCACTGTTCTTTCTGGTAGATCTGCGGGTGCTGCTGTCTGCCCTCAAACTTGTCCTGAAGCCAGTCTGCACTGAACTCCACCACATGATCCACGAGGGCCTCGAGGTGCTGATGGCTGAGGAGCGAGCCGAGAGAAAGGGGATGGATCCCTGCTCTGTACAAGGCTTCATTCTTAATGATGTTCCCTAAGCCTGAGAAGTATCTTTGGTCCAACAGGGTATAGCAGACAGGCTGCTCCTGGCTCAAAGCTTCCAAGGCTTGTCGTCGATCAAACTTTTCCGACAAGATGTCAGAGGCAGGTCTGACCACTGGGGAAGAGCTCCAAGACATCTGACAATTATAGAATGCCAGGAAGCCGCCACCACCAAAGTACAGGACCAACCTTGGAATGGGGTCCCTCCAATCGCCCCTCTTGTTTGCTTTCTTCGCTCTGGAGAACTCGTTCACCCAAATGCTGCCAAACATACCAAAGCTGACCTGCAGCCACCTCTCCGCAGCTCCCACAGCAGCATCTCCCCACAAACCCTCCAAACCACTGTCTCCACTGGGAGCAACATGCTCCAGGGACTGAGAGGGCGGCTGAGAAGTATTCTGGCTGCTGAGCCCCGAGGCCTGCTTTTGGTCCTGGACCTCCTCCTTCCTCTCTCCTTTTTCTAGAGACTCTGGCAGTGAGATGTTGCCAAGGGAACCAAGTTCTTCATCTGGATCAAATCTAAGGAATAATTTTTTTCCATGGACCTGTGTATCTTGGAGCCACAGAGACTGCAAGCTGGCAAGGGTCAGCTTCTGACTGCTGCCCCCTGTCTTGACCACCTGCTGCCCCACAAAGGGGGAGACCAAGCGGTGGAACTTCCTCACAGATGGTCCCTCTGGCATCCCGGCTCCGGGCCCGTGCCCCTTGGCCCGCACGCCGCCTCCGACGCAGGGCGTAGAGGACTCGGCTGCCCCGCGTCCGCACACTCTCTGCCCGCCGATGGATGCCTATCTTTAGCCATTCTATTACTTACTAAAACCATCCCTAGGGATTGAGCAGTACAGATATCAGGGGGAAAAGTTGGTTTTATAATTTTGCTTTGATAAGGGAGTTTGGTGGGAGAGAATAATGAAAATAGTTGAGGTTTTGAATTATCTTTAGATTTTAGTTACCCATATTCTTTACCCAGGTCAAATGGTGTTTGGTGGCAGCAGTCAGAAACTCCTTTGAGGGGCGCCTGGGTGGCTCAGTGGGTTGGGCCTCTGCTTTCGTCTCAGGTCATGATCTCAGGGTCTGGGGATCGAGCCCAGCATCAGGCTCTCTGCTCAGCAGGGAGCCTGCTTCCCCCTCTCTCTCTGCCTGCATCTCTGCCTACTTGTGATCTCTATCAAATAAATAAAATCTTTAAAAAAAGAAAAATAAAAGAAACTCCTTTGAGGCACTGGTGGCAGGGGTAGATGATATTAGAAAAGCAAATATGGGAAAAGTTAGACAAGCAATGAGAATATGAAAGATTACATTCATTATGATTATTTTGTTATTTCTGTGGCTGGTTGCATTACTTGACCAGGCTCTGAAAAGTTTAGGTACTTAACTTATACTTAACATACCTTGTTTTTAGGGTCGAGAACTTTTGGCTTCTGCTCCTACTGGATCTGGAAAGACTTTGGCTTTTAGCATTCCCATTTTGATGCAACTAAAACAACCCACAAATAAAGGCTTTAGAGCTCTGATTATATCACCAACACGAGAACTTGCCAACCAGGTATGACATGTAGCTTCCAAAGAGGAAGTATTTGATGTTTGCTTTAGTCATTTCTTATTTGAGGGTAGTAAAAGGGTCTCAAAAAGAGTAAGGCCCATGTATGGCCTAGGCAAATATTCTGTACTGTATCTTACTCTGTTCTGTAACTTACTGCACGTGGGCAAGTTTTTTGAATCATTTTATAGTTTTCTAAAACAATGATTTAAACATTAACGATGTTTCTTTGGCAAATGCTCTAAGATCTTTTAAGTTGAGGCTACTGAGGCTCCCGGAATATATAGTCCCTCTCTAAAACATAACCTTATCTCAGTTTTTGAGAAAGAAGAACTAACACAGTGACTTACTCCATACTTCCAATGTGCTTAATAGAAAATACATGCCAAGCCTGAGACGGTTTTCTAATAGCACTGTATTCCAAAAACAGTATGTAACAGATTGCAAAATGCTGAGATTCCAGGTTAGTGCACATAGTATTATAGGTTTAATTTCAGTTATTCATGGGTTGGTAATAGGTTTATTTTAATAATGTAAACAAGATTATGCATCTTTTCTAAGTATCTTAGCAGCTAATATTTTTGTCATTTGCCATTTTAGATTCACAGAGAGTTAGTAAAAATCTCAGAGGGAACAGGATTCAGGATACACATGATCCACAAAGCAGCAGTGGCAGCCAAGAAATTTGGACCTAAATCATCTAAGAAGTTTGGTAAGGGATTCATGCTTGACATACAGAGCATGTAAGGGATTTGCAAATTACAAATATCCTTAACTGCCACCTAGGAGTTGTTAAAAGTGTAGTCATACACACAACTAATTTGGTTTTTAGAGAAACTGAAAGAGATCTCTCCACTCCCACTCGGTACTTATTTAAATATATACCAGTGATTCTCATCCAGAGGCAGTTTTGCCCCACCTCACTTACCACCCCAGGGACATTTAGCAATATCTGGAGATACTTGAAGTTAGCAAAACTGGGGTGCTACTAGCCTGTGGTAGGAAGAGGTAACAGCATCCCACAGTGCGCAAGACAGTTTGCTACAGCAAAATGTTATCTAGATCAAAATGGCGGTACTGCTAAAGCTGAGAAACCCTGCTTTATACTGTTGATTTTTAATCTACCATGGAAATACTCTGCAGATAAGAATGGCTTACATCCCTACCCTTATATCAGTTAGGAAATCAGCTTTTACCTTTCATTTTGAGTTTCTGAGTAAAATTTCATTTAAAGAAAGGATTTTCCCCTCCCCAAAACTAAATACTTGAAAATAACACTGTTGTATTATAGTCTTCTTGCCTCTTAGAAGTTGAGAAGGCAGATCAAACATAATAAAAAGAGAGTAAGCATATAGTAGTTTGTGCTATGATGGATTAAAAAATATGTACATATATTAGCTTATGAATAAGAAAGAACTTTTGTGGGGTTGGTCTAGTAAAATAGCAAGTATATGACCTGCCCCTCCTTTCCCCTCTTCAGGTTCTTCACTGACATTCAGGAACCTTAATTCCCTTGTTTAAGAGAGATGAACCTTGCTTTTGCAACGTGTACCATTTGTTTTTCCCATAGATATTCTTGTGACTACTCCGAATCGACTAATCTATTTATTAAAGCAAGATCCTCCGGGAATAGATTTAACAAGGTACAGATAATATTTTAATCTCTTCTTTGTGTATTTTCATTTACTTGATTCTGTTTTGTCCTTGACTGTTTGTATTATGGCCCATTGGAGCTTGCTATCTGCCAGCTTTCAATCAGTGTTGGTGCTAAGAATAATGGTTTTCATCAAATTCTTAGGAATGTTACCATCTGGTCTGGAAGAAAGTTACAGATTCTGATAAGCAGTTAGTACAGAATTCCCCTAGATGTTTTCACTTCTTTCAACAATGGTGATGGAGTTTATAAGATTTATGTGAAGCTCTGTTGTTGCTAATGGAACCTCATCTCTTTGAGGCTAAAGGAATAGAACATTGCTTTATGTTTATCTTGTTTTTACCTTTTCCTGCTGATTTTTCTTTTACCTTTTTCTGGTATAATGTGTAGATCTCAGAAGTAGCATAATGGTTTGACTACTACTTCATGTGTCCCCACAGTTCAGTGAAGTGTCTTGGGTCTTCCAGTTCAGTACCCACAAGTTGTTATGTTATTTCTCAGTGTAGAGTGGCTGGTAGTAGATGAATCAGACAAACTGTTTGAAGATGGCAAAACTGGGTTCAGAGACCAGCTGGCTTCCATTTTCCTGGCCTGCACATCCCATAAGGTCAGAAGAGCTATGTTCAGTGCAACTTTTGCATATGATGTTGAGCAGTGGTGCAAACTCAACCTGGACAATGTCATTACGGTATCCATTGGAGCAAGGTAATTGTTCTTCTCTGTTATCCCTGATTTTTTTTAAAACAAGTCTTTTTTTTTTTTTTTTTTAGACACTCAAGGAGATAGGTTGTTTTGGCCTTAGATTAATAACAGGGAAAGTTTTACTGAAAGACATGTATTCTTTAAAGTCAAGATTGAGTAAGGATTTTCCATTTTATTTATTTTTTTTAGAGAGGGAGAGAGAGAGAAAGGTGAGGGGGAAGGGCAGAGGGAGAGGGTGAATCTTAAGTAGGCTCCATGCCCACAGCAGAGCCTGACCTGGGGCTCGATCTTACAACCCTGAGATCATGACTTGAGCTGACATTAAGCGTTGGACACTTAACTGAGCCACCCAGGCACCCTAAGGATTTTCTATTTTAGAATAATCCAAAGGGAAATTTCTCAAATTGTCATGTTAGTATTTCTGTCATTATGTTTTCACCTGATTCTTCCCATCTATCCACAAAGTGACTTGAACTCTATAGCCACCCAGAAGATTTAGTTTCTTTGATGGCTTAATTAAGTAGGACCATAGAGGAAGAAGCTTATGTTACTGAGCCAGTTGATTTATAATCCTTTTTAAAAATTTTGGGGTTAAGCATTTTATACTAAATGAATGTGCACTAGTACAATAGTGTGTTAGGAAAGTATAATATAGCCACGTGATAGAATAATATGAGACCCATGAAATGATAAGTATGACGACTATAGCTATATGAAAAAGTGCTTGTGGGCACCTGAGTGGCTCAGTCAGTTAAGTGTCTTCCTTTGTCTCAGGTCGTGATCCCAGGGTCCTGGAATTGAGCTCCCTACTCAGCAGGGACCCTGCTTCTCCCTCTCCCTCTGTGCTCCCTCTCTCTCTTTTCCTGTCTCTCTCAAATAAATAATTTCTTTTTAAAAAGTGCTAGAAAAAACATATTAAATTAAGAAAGAAGCCAAATGGAACAATAAAAAATACTTTAAACTCTTTAAACTTAAAACTTCTGTTTATAAACGGAAAGAACAAATACACCATAAATATGAAGACAGAAGGGGAAAAAATATTTATGGTACAGCGTAATGTACTGTAACAACTTTTTTTTTTTTTAAGGATTTTGTTTATTTGAGACAGAAAGCACAAACAGGGAGGAGGATGAGAGGGAGAGGGAAAAGGGAGAGGGAGAAGCAGACACCCTGCTGAGCAGGGAGCCTGACATGGGGCTCAAGCTCAGGACCCTGATATCATGACCTGAGCTGAAGACAGATGCTTAATTGACTGAGCCACCCAGGCACCCCTGTACTACAGCATCTTATTAGTGTTTATAAAAGCTCTTAAGGCTCACCCCCAACTATTAAAAAAAAACTCTTATTAATCATTAAGAAAAACTCAGACCTGTAATAACCTTAAAAATATTCTCATTTTTTTATCCAGTAATTTTATTTTTAGAAACTTCTTTTAAGTAAATAATTAGATACAGGAAAATGTATGACTTAGACTACAACAAAACATCACAATTTATCCTAAAATGGACAACTTGTTTTACTATTTACATTTTTCCAAATTTTCTTTAGATAGCATTTTTATAATTAGAATAAAACATTTAAAAATAACTTTGGGGGGCACTTGAGTGGCTTAGTCAGTTGGGCATCTGATTCTTGGTTTCAGGTTGGGTCGTGGTCTCAGGGTTGTGGGGTCAAGCCCTGAGTCAGGCTCCTTGCAGAGTCTGCTTATCCCTTTCCCTTTGTTCCTCCCCTTGCGCATGCATGCACTTTCTCTCTCAAACAAATCTTTTTAAAAACAAATAAAAAATAAAAATAACTTTGGGGTGTCTGCCTGGCTCAGTCAGAATATGCGACTCTTCATCTCAGGGTGATGCGTTCAAGCCCCATGTTGGGTGTAGAGATTACTTAAATAAATTCAACTTTAAAATAAATAAGTAACTTTGTCTTCATATTGAAGGATAAATGATTAAATGCTTATAATGACAATGGAAAACTTGATTCTGTTGGGGTTTTGTGTAAATTTTTTCATTTATTTAGAATTTGGGAGGAAAAGCAAAAATTGGCCCTTGCAATCTGCAAAGTATGTTTGCTTTTCAGGAATTCTGCAGTAGAAACTGTAGAACAAGAGCTTCTCTTTGTTGGGTCTGAGACTGGGAAACTTCTGGCCATGAGAGAACTTGTTAAAAAGGTATATTTGGGCTATCTTCTTGAATTTTGATGAAGTTCATTAAATCTTATGTGACTGGTAGGAGGCTGAGCGCTATTCCTGTAGCATATGTAGTAATCTGTAGGTAAATTCTTGAAAACATTGAGTCATCTGTTGTCCCAAGTGGAGAGACTCACCACTTAGATTATGGTAAGTTTTCTGTTCCAGCTCAAGGTATGCTAGGAAAAAACCTACCTGATGCCCTAAAAGCCTCCTTTTTCCACATCTCCATCTGTATTGGTTCCCTTCATCTCCCCCAATCCCTCTGCTGGTTTCTTCTAGAACTCTAGGAGCATTGTAGAGTAATTAGGACACCGAGTGTGGTTTTCTGTTTTTTATCCCTTAAGTAAATACTGAGTAGAAGCCATAATCAAAAGTTAACTGTGAGGGGTTAGGGCAGGGGAAAATAAAACAAAGAGAATTCTTAAGCCCTGCCCCTAGAATTTAGTCTTTTTTAGGGAATAAAAGAAATAGACTTGTGTTAACATAGTTTTTAGTAAAGTGTCATAAGAGGCTATAGAGTATTTCTCTTAAGCACCCACGTAGCATAAGTTAATCGGTTGGGGAAAGCCTTCCGGAGGAGATGCTACTAATCTGGGCCTTGGAAGGATCTGTGGGACGTTGATTGTTGGAGGAGCAGCTGGAATATTCCAGGCAGTAGAGGGAAACACAGTGGGTTTAGAGACTCATGAAGAGGTTACCTATCTAAGGCAAAGAGTTTATGGTGAGTTAAAGAAGATCAGGTTGGACAGGAAAGTTGGGGTCACGTTAAGAGAAACCACTGGACATTCGAAGAATTTTAAGGAAAATTACATAAATAGTGATACATAAAATGTAATGGCAAGAGACTGAAAGTAAAGAAACCAGTCAGTAGGTTGTTAAATTAGGCTGGTTAGAGATGAAGAGGAAATAAATGAGAGAAATGAGGGTGACAGCCTCAGTGGTGGAATGTTAAGACAGATGCTTAATTGACTGAGCCACCCAGGCACTTTATTATTGGCAATAAAGGAATGTTAAGAATAGTTGGAGGATGAAAGGAAAAGGGTTTGCAAGTACCTGGTGACTACAGAAGTAGTTAAGAGCTTGAGGCAAATTAGCTTCAGGCAAATTAACCTCACAGCTTCCTCATCTGTAAAATGGAAATAATATCTCTCTCATAGAATTGTTTTAGTATTAATGATTAATACAGACATAGTACTTAGAATAGTGCTTGGCACACAATGTCATGTACATTTGTTTCATTAATATTTTTTTTAAGATTTTATTTATTTACTTGACAGACAGAGATGACAAGCAGGCAGAGAAGCAGGCAGAGAGAGAGAGAGGAGGAAGCAGGCTCCCTGCTGAGCAGAGAGCCCGAAGCGGGGCTCGATCCCAGGACCCTGGGATCATAACCTGAGCCGAGGACAGAGGCTTTAACCCACTGAGCCACCCAGGCGCCCCTGTTTCATTAATATTCTTAAAGGTGTCATTTGGCACTAGCAAATTTTAAGGCTTTTCACATGGATACTCACATGGAGATTATACATCAGGGATTTCTATCTAGCTTTAGGAGGTCTGTGAACCCTCTGAAGTTGTGTGTTAGATTTTGTGTGAATGAATGGTTGCCTATTAGGAAGCTTCACAGCTTTATTAGATTTCAAAAGGGGAGCTTGTGAACCAAGATTAAGAAGGTTAAACCCTAATAGAGCAGTTGAAAATAGAGAAAGCCCGTTTGAGGAAAAGGTGGGGTTTGATGATAGAAATGTAAAAATCTTCTGCTTGGAGAGGGTAGTTGATAACTGAGATTATATTTAAAATATTAAGATAATGACTATATTGAGAGAACGGAGAACCAAAGACTAAGCTTTGGTGGAATATCCGTAGTTAGGATAAACAGTGAATTAATAAAAGTTACTGCATTTTAGCGGAATGTAAAGATCTCTGAGGCACAGAAGCCAAGAGATGATTGTTCTAGGGACTGAGCATCTGTCATTATAGAAAGGTAAAGGGGATTAACTAGACATGGTTGTTGGAATTAGCAAGGTGGAAATTAGAGTCAAGTTGTGTAGAGAATGGATGGTGAAGAAGATAGAGGCAGATGTAGACCACTGAGAAATTTGGCAATCAAAGGTACACTAAATTGAATTGGGTTCTTTTATGAACTAAAATCATATGAAATACTGTGATTGTATTCTTTTTTTTTTTTTTTTTTTTTTTAAAGATTTTATTTATTTATTTGACAGTGAGAGATCACAAGTAGAGAGGCAGGCAGAGAGAGAGGAGGAAGCAGGCTCCCTGCCGAGCAGAGAGAACCCGATGCGGGGCTCGATCCCAGGACCCTGAGACCATGACCTGAGCCGAAGGCAGAGGCTTTAACCCACTGAGCCACCCAGGTGCCCCTGTGATTGTATTCTTGATTATGGGTTATATGTGCTGATTTTTGCCTTCTTTCTTGTAGGGTTTCAATCCACCTGTTCTTGTTTTTGTTCAGTCCATCGAAAGGGCTAAAGAACTTTTTCATGAGCTCATATATGAAGGTATTAATGTAGATGTTATTCATGCAGACAGAACACAGCAACAGGTAAAGTCAAGTGTATATTTTCAAAGTGATAAAGAGCTATTAAACTTTAAAATATTGGCATGGGATTTATGAAGTACTTGTTTTCTGTTCCCAGAGTAGTACTAAAATATTTAACATGTGTTTTATTAACCAGAGAGATAACACAGTCCACAGCTTCCGAGCTGGAAAAATCTGGGTTCTTATTTGTACAGCCTTGCTGGCCCGCGGGATTGATTTTAAAGGTGTGAACTTGGTGATCAACTATGATTTTCCAACCAGCTCAGTGGAATACATCCACAGGATAGGTGAGTTGTCTCTCCTGCTGCTTACCCCTCTGCCCGCTGACACCCCGGCACTACTTCTCTGTCTTGCACTTACTCCTTCCCTCCATACGTGCTCATTTTGTAGTGCTCATTTTAGTGAAAAGCCAGTGACTTATATGTGAATCTTGACGTTCCCTTTCCCCAGAAAAGTGTTTTTTATGGTCTGGGTTTTTTTTAGGTCGAACTGGAAGAGCGGGGCATAAAGGAAAAGCTGTTACATTTTTCACTGAAGATGATAAACCATTATTAAGAAGGTAAATTAGGGGGCACCTGGGTGGCTCAGGTCATGATCCCAGGTTCCTGGGATCGAGCCCCACACAGGCTTCCTGCTCAGCAGGATGCCTGCTTCCTCTTTCAAACCCCTGGCTTGTGTTCCTCTCTCGCTGTCTTTCTCTCTCTAATAAATAAAATCTTTAAAAAAAAAAAAAAGGTAAATTAGGAAAAATAACTTAGTATTAAGATGGCAAGACCACTTCATGTTCTTGTATGCACACACAGTTAAAATGGACAAGTCCCAAATACTGTTACAGCATTAGTCAACCAGATTTTAGCTGTGACGAAAGGAAAAATCAGAGGGCTTTGTTTTTGCCCTTTCATTACTAGAATTTGGAAGTATTCATAATGGAATGTTCATTATTAAATTTCAAACTCACAGGATTCTCCCAATAGCCTTGGTTAATATTACTCGCAATGTAATAGTGAAGTTTTTGGATTGGTGAATAAAGTTAACCCGAGTCTCTTCAGCCCAGTCAAAATTACCCCTCACCGTGGTGCATCCTTCTCTTTACTCTTCTGGGCAGATGGAGTTTTATATTTAGTCCTAGGAAATCTGTTTCAGTAACACACTCCCCATATTATTCAGTTGTAGCTCTTTGAAGCCTGGGTAACACATGCACTTTTAGAATCTTGGGTCTTAATTTAGCCCAGCATCATAGATCTTAAAATAAAAGCTGAGTTTCCTACATTTTGGCTGCCTACAGTAATTTTAAACGTGATAATTTATAGTACTTTGCATTTCTAACAAATGAAATTGAGTTATGGTCAAAGGCTGTTTGTACTTTGATGTGTTTATCAGTTTTGGCAAAGACTTTGATTTGTGCCTTCTGAACCTTGGCTTTGTCATCAGCCTTGGGTATCCTTTCAGCAGACTTTTACACGTTCATATGTAGGGGAGTCTATTCCAAAAGCCTAGATTCACTTCCATCTCCTCAGTAACTCCAAGCATGTGAATCTGATGACCTCCATGTCAACATAACCATTACTCTCATGGTTTTTCCATCCGGGCAAGGGGGATAAGGATAGTATTTCATTAGTGAAGGGTTTTTGAGTGGATCGAGTAAGTCACTACACATAAAAAGCCTGAGACAGTGCCAGATGCATAGTAAGCACTATCATCTAATAATTTCTGGTCAGTGTCCTCATCCAAGATTGGGTTAGCTTTTCAGGGCTTGGTAAATGTTGAGCAGAAATAGCTACTAGGTAAAATTACTCATCAGCAGGCACATCAATTTCAGTCTAGCAGACAGTCCTCTCAGCAGTCCAGTGTTCTTACATCTGGTGATCATTTATAGCAGAACACTGTACTGGATTACTTTCCCATATGTGTAGTTTTCATTCCTCTCGAATTTTACAGAGGGTTTAAGTGTGTAAACATCAATTTGATCAGATACAAATTGATGTTTATGGGTTCCTTTTCCAGTGTTGCCAATGTTATACAGCAGGCCGGATGTCCTGTGCCAGAATACATAAAAGGTTTCCAGAAACTACTAAGGTATAATCTTTAATTTATTTGGATCTCCCCCTCTTTCTCTCCCTTTCCCCCCACATATGTTTTCTTGCTTTCACACTCTTAAAATTACAGTTCTAGCAATACCACTACTTTTAGAAATTCTAAGATAAAAATTTTCCTTTTTAAATACCTGTGAATATGTCTTCCTTGTCAGTTTTTTCATTCTTGAAATGTTTAGTATTCAGATTTTTTAAAAAATTACTCAATATAAGTGAAATAAGCTTAGAATTTATCTTCGTTCATAAAACTGATAAAGAGCCGTTAATTGCCCCAAATCAAACCTTAATGCTTGTTGGCACAGGAGATAAGGGTGATACAGGACATATTTTAATCATAATTAATACATTTTTAAAAAATTGATCAAATTTATAATCCCCTGGGGTTATCTCTAAATGCTATTGGGTAATCAGCATTTTAAAGTGGTTGTAGTGTCACCTAATTTTGTGATGAACACTCAAAACTAGTTTTAGCTTACACTCTTTTCAGGTAAGTTCTACTGAATTTCATTCTTTTCTCTTTTTATAACTTTCAGCAAACAAAAGAAAAAGATGATTAAGAAGCCATTGGAAAGGCAGAGCATTAGTACAACTCCAAAATATTTCTTAGAAAAGGCTAAGAATAAACGGTAAGTATATACGAGAAAAGTGACTGTTGACTCTGTCATATGATTATAGTAGGCTTTATTTCTCCTTAGGATGAATTTTTTGAGTTAGAATTGATAGGTTCAGTCAGTTATAGAATATAATAAAAGTAATATATTTTAGGTTGCTTGTGATTTGGGATCTTGTAATGATCTGTTTTTTTCCATCTTTGAAAGAATGATTTCAGTTCACTTTGAATTAATATTGCACTCCCCACCACCTCTACACAGCCTACATCAAGACATACTGCTGAGATGGTGAGGGCTCTTAACTCACATTGATGGAATCTTCCCTGAAGCTCCCCATTCTAGGCAGGATTTCAGTGTAGTCTTAGGCTTATCCTGAAGCACATTGTAACACCTCTAGAAAGTATGACTTGAGTAAATTTGTAGTTGTTTAGCTGAGTTTTAGGAGGATGTTAAAGCATTGATTTCTTTTTTTCTTTTTAGCATACACACAGGACTATCTTTTAATAGAGGTAATCAAGACCATGCTAACCTGTACTGCTCTTTTACACTATTTAAGGAAAATAACACTCTTCAAATTCTACCGGTACCAGTTTGTATATAATATATATAAAATGTAGGCATTTACCAAGTACCTTTTCTCCTGCCAGGTGCTTTGGTATGTGAATGAATCTAAAATGAGACCCCTATAAAGTCAGGGAAAGGAGATTAGTATACATTAAAAAACATTAGAGAATAATTTTTAAATAAAGTGTAAGTTTGGAGATGACAAATATTCTGAATTGGTATAGTTACAAAAAGCTTCAAGGAGCTAGAACGATCTTTAAGTACAGGTAAATTTAGGCATATGGAGGGGACACAGTGAAGAAAGTCATGAAAACTGGCATGCACTTTCCTTCTAAGTGGAACAAGAATCTTATTTGACATTTTGTATTGACTATGAAAAGTAACGTTTAGTTCAAGGATATAGAGTGTACACAGTGTCCCAAAGTTTTAGTGCAGTTTTAAGCTTTAATAACTTGGGAAGAAATGCAACAGGCTTAAAAAATATCATTTGAAAGCTTAAAAATTTTAATTGTGTCTATACATACTCCTTTTTGTTAGTTCTTAATATTAAGAACATTCTTTATTTGAATTTTTTGGTGTGGCAACGGTTTCTGGCTGACAAATCAGTAGATTGTTAAGAGATGGTCACTCTGCTTGGACACCTGATCTTTCTCATTAGACTTTTTCTTGCGGCTGTATCAGAACCGTTGTATATTCATCAGAACCTTATTATGTGTGTGATCTTAAAGCTAGAATTGGAAGTATAATCTCCTCAGGCACTGACCAGCGGCTAATGAAAGTTTTAACAAAAAATCAGAAATCTTCTATAGTATTAAGATGGGGCTATGTTGAATTTTAATAAGAAACAACAATATTTTAAAGAATTATACTTTGGATGTTGATTTTTATAAGTTTGTAGTATATACACTTGAGGTGTTAAAACTTAGCTGCACTTAGACTTTGAAGACACTTGATATAAATCTTGTGACTTCAGCCCCCCACTTAAAATGCTGTGGTCATCTCCATTGTTTCACATTTAAAAGCCAGCCTTCTCAGGGCACGTGGGTGGCTTAGTGGGTTAAGGCCCTGCCCTCAGCTCAGGCTGTGATCCCAGGGTCCTGGAATTGAGCCCCACATTGGCCTCTCTGCTCAGCAGGGGGCCTGCTTCCTCCTCCCTCTCTGCCTGCCTGTGATCTCTGTCTGTCAAATAAAAAAAAAAAAAAGCCAGCCTTCTCTATAGATCACGTAAACAACACTTGATCCAACTCCAGCTTACCTTTTAACTCTAGATGGTCCCTTAATGATCCTTCCCATACCTTGCTGAGAACTCTGATGTCCATATATCCAGGCCCAGCTTTCCATATAAACCTGAATCCTCTTGCCTGGTGGACCTCACATCAGTCACTTCAAACTCAGCTTGGTAGAATGGAGGGAAATACTGGATTTGAAGTCAGAAGGATTGGCTCTCATACCACCTTTTCCTCTGTGACTTTGGACAGGTCATTTCCCCTTGTGTGTAATAGAAATAAGTACATAAATCATGCCAACCTCAAGGTTGGTTGAGGGTTAAATAAGTTAGTATACATCCAGGAACTTTGCCTTACTAAATTGTAGAATGCAAACATTGGTTATTTTCTCCCAACATTATTCCTTTTCCTCCGTTAACTTAATTAATGGCATTCACTAAACTCTAAAATCATACTGTTAGGGTTCGTATCTCACATTTATTATCAGTGTGTGATGATCAGCAAGTTATTCAACAGCTCTGCCTCATTTTCCTCATCTGTCAAATAAGGGTAATGTTAGAATCTTCTCCCTAAGTTGGGAAGATTATCTGAGCTGATATATACGAAGCACTTATAACAGTATCTAGCACTTAATCAATGTGAGCTCTTACTATTAGTAATGTCAGAGTCAGATTCCATCTTTTATACCAGGTTGTAGTGAGTTTACGGTGATGTTTCTGTCTCACTTAGGTGATTGTGGTTTCCTAAAGGGCAGAAACCATGTCTAATGCATCCTCATGTTCCTAGTCCCTCATATACTTGATTAGACAGGTTTCAGGAGATGTTTTTTAAACTGGCAGAGCTTTAGAAAGTACATATATCTAGAATTTTGGGTTCAACTTTCTTTAATTTTCTTGTCACAGGAAAAAGGTCCCTGGTCAGAACAGCAAGAAGAAAGTAGCTCTTGAAGACAAAAGTTAAAAGCAGACTTTTTAAAAGACTGTATCAGAAATGGAACTTCATGACACCAGCATGAATGTTGTTTTCATGAAATACTTGAAATCCTGTAATCACCTGTAACATTTGAAATCAACTACAAGAAAGTGGGACTGATGAAAAATGATCCTAAACTATCAATGCATAATGTCAAATTTCAATTTATAGGTGACTTTTAAATGATGACACAATGGAAATAACATTCATTCACATTTCTGTGGTGTGAATGCAGAGAGATACTTCTTATAGAAGAACAAAAGCTTATGCTAAAATTAACAACAGCCGAATGTGGTGAGCTCTGAAGGATTTTTCCCTTCAGTGTGAAGGAAGGTGTGATATATGCTGTGGGGAGGCATCTGGAACCAAATTTTAAAATAAAGCCTTGAGATTAAATGCCCCTTTTCACCACCACCCTCGCTTTTTTTTTTTTTTTTTTTTTTTTTAATGGACAAGAAGCAGCACAGGCTGTCTACCAAGAAATACCTATTGCTCTCTTTATTTTACTATTTCTAAATTTGTTGATGGCCTTTTGTGGTATGAGTCACAACAAAGCCTCTTCTGTGGCTGGTTACTCAAATTCCCTAGGATTTTAAATTCTTTGGTCTATTAAATATCCTTATACCTCATTGGTAAAAGAGCTCATCTCATACCCTACCTGTCCTAATGTTGCAGCTACAAGATTATGGTCAGCCTTTCCCTTTCTTACTTCCATTTTCCATCATTTAATCATGCTCTTTCCTGTCTCTTTCCATTCAAGATGACTTTGCTCAAAAACCGATAAACACTTTATCCTGATAAGAAAGAATGTTCCTTACTTGATACACATGAGGCTGCATTCTCTTACAGCTTGTCTTTCCTGAGGCTTTATGGCCCTGCATCCATTTAGTAAACAGGTCTCTGCCAAAGGTAAAGAGTTACGCTTACACAGTGATGGAGACTATTCACTGTTAGCAGATTGTTCTTAGTTGCTAGTTTTTATACAGTTGGAATAAAAAATTGACTTGAGGGACACCGGGGTGGCTCAGTCAGTTAAGTGGCTGCCTTCAGCTCAGGTCATGATCCCAGCATCCTGGGACTGAGTCCCATATGGGTCTCCTTGCTCAGTGGGGAACCTGCTTCTCCCTCTGCCTCTGCCTGCCACTCTGCCTACCTGTACTCGCTCGCTCTCTCTCTGACAAATAAGTAAAATCTTAAAAAAAAAAAAAAAAGCCTGCCTTAAAAAAAAAAAAAATGTTTACTTCATACATGTAAGGTATTTAGAATGGCACCTGACATGAGTGGTAGTTATTATCAATACTATTACAATACTGGGATATAAGTAATCTTAGTAGCATTTGAATTAAAACATATTAATTTCCTTTATTTTCATCCTTTTGCTACATGGTGCAAAAAAACAAATACAAGCATGTGATTTTTTTTTTGTTCTTGCAAACAGATCCTTGACTCTCTATATCCTGGAGGTAGTTGTGATAGTGCCACCTCTTGCAAGCTGTATGACTTTGAATAGGTTCTTTAATTTCTCAGAGCTTCTGTTTTTTCATGTGTGAGATTGGGACTAATACCAACTATGTCCCAGTATCAGACATGCCTAGCTCTGTGCCTGCCATGTTATAAATTAATGCCAAATATTCCTTAAACAAACATGATATATTTGGTGAGGAATACAAGGCTTAATAACATAATCTGTGCCCTTAGAGCGTAGTGGTGGGTATAGAGTAAAGGAACAAATAGTGTGGCAGGCAAATGCTGTGTAGACATAATGCCAAGATGTTGAAGCATCAGAGGATGGCACCTAACACCATGGAAGGCTGACCTCCTGTGCTGAGTCTAGCAGATGTAGGAATCCACAGGCAAAGGAGAACAAAGTATCATGACAGAAACGAGAACGCATCTTCTGTGATCCTGATAAAATATTCCCTTCATTTGACTTTATTTGAGTATTTTCTCCTGTGTCACTACCCATCCTTAATAACAGTGGCTATATACACCAGTATTAACTTGCCTTGTCAATGGATTAATACTGAATTTAGCACTTTTCTATCAGTTGGGACTATATGCTACAGAAATTTCAGTTTCACCGAAAGAAAAGAAATGAAATTAGTAGACCGTTGTGAAAAGAAAATACATAATAATTGAATTATTCACTAGCAGCTGCACTAGTGAAATGAGTAAGGACTTTTATGTGAAACACCTGGGTTTGAATCCTGGTGCTGCTGCTTTGCAACTCTATGACCAGGGCAAATTACAACTTCTTTTAACCTTGGTTTTCTCAACCGCAAAATGCCAATACTCACTCTTAGGGACACTGAAGATTTGAAAAAATTCGGTATGGCTCCTGACTAGTGATTTGTACCCAATAAAAGATAACTATTATTACAAATGGTTTCCGTGTAAAAAGCCTTGGGGCAAGAGTGAAAGATAAAACTAATTATAATTAATCCACTACTCGCTAATAAGCAAACTGCTTGAAGGCTTGAAAAGGTTAACCTTGGACTTTTGTATTTTACTTACAGTAGTTCGAGTAAGGGAAAAAAGTAAAAATGTGCCCAGATTTTATATATATTATATGTGACATAATATATCGAGATAATATATATCGAGACAATATATATCGAGATAAATTCAGAGTAATGAACTGTTTTCCAAACACCATTTTGCCCCTGCTTGCAAATATAGGAAAAGCAGGGATTACTGGGTAGCGTGGTGGCAGAACCAAACAGATGAACAGTGCACGTTGAAGGTTTTGTATACGGGCTATAGGTTTACTTGAGCTAGGCTGCTTTACCGAATTTTAAACACCTTCATCTTCTGGGGTGGGTGCCGAGAGGAAGCTGCCGAGTTCTCGGGAAAAAGGTGATCACGGATCAGCTCTGTGAAGCTATCAAAGGAGGGTCCAGGATCCACCTATTCTTTACGTGTATAAAGAATAAAAGAACACCCGTACACCATCATTCCAGTTTAAAAAGCAGGATTCGATCTCCTCTTTCCATCAGCCAACATGACGGTTTTTCAAACCGACGGACATCGCTTTGCCGCTCGGCCCCCAGCCGGTCCCTCCGAGACCCTTGCCAGAGAATGAATCAGCTCTCCTGGGCCGCCCGTGCAACCCCAGAACTAGAACCGCTCTCACAATACCCTCGGCGGCGGTCGGGCCACGTGACGAGGGCGCGCCACTTTACCCCTCCCCGGGGCGCCGAGGGTCACGTGGGCGCACGGCTCCGCCCCGTCGCCCAGTCCGCGGCGTGGAGGGGCTGGCATTCGCCCCGGAAGTGGCTGTCTTCAGCTGACAGCTGCTTGTAAGGTGGCGGCGGCCGGCTCGGAGCAAGATGGCGCTGCGGCCGGGAGCGGGAGCTGGCGGCGGTGGGGCCTCGGGAGCCGGGGCTGGGGCCGCCGGGGGAGGCAGGTGAGTGTCAAGAGCCGGGCCGGGCCCCAGGGCAGGCCCCGCGGGGCCGAGGGTTGTGTGGCGGTTATGGCGGTTTTCGCCCGCTTCGACCCCTTTTCGTTTGGTACTGGGTTACAGGAGAAGGGGGTCCTCCGGGGACCTAGGCCGAGGGGGTGGGGGAAACCCGGCGCCCGACTCCTGTCTCCCAGGCTCAGGGGCACTGGTGCGGGGGCCGAGCAGCAAGCGAGAGCGTCCCAGTGCGGGGAGGAGAGGGCCCGCTTGGCTGGGCTGGCACCCGGCCGGGGATGGGGAAAGCGACCTCTCGCTTCTAGCCCGAGCGACCAGACTTCCCTTTCCCAGGGCTTTCCGGGCTTGACCAGGGTTAGGGTAGTGGAGGCTCTGAAAAATCTGGCCACAAAACTGAACAGCCGTTTGCAAGGTGTGTGTGTTTGTGTGTGTGCACTATTTGTCTTCCCCCGTTTAGAATGTCCTGTCCTTTTTAATCACCTCAGCAACACAAAATAAACAGCAGGAAAAGCTAGAGACCTTTGAATTAATAACGTTCTTGTAGACGTAACTCTTAAGACTTGTCACCTTATTAAAATCAAATCACTGTTAACAATTACGCAGTTATTAGAACAAAGCTTCCAGACTTTTACTTAGTCCTTAAATGAATCTGTCCTCTGTCATATAAAAATTGCCGTTGTTCTCATACCCAGAATGATAAAGAAGAACGTCTGCTACTTGGCAAGTTCATCATTTAAGGAAATCCTTTAGTCGGGGAAGTTTTCACCCCACTCCTGTAATGACCTAGTCTGCGTTTGTTTTGTTAACCAACACATAGTACATACACATTTGAAGATAAAATTAGCTTTTCATCTTAAGCATCCTAAATTATTTTTGGAAAGCAAAGTGATGGTGTTTCCATAGGCAGTGTTTTAATTTTGGAGTCAGGAACACTAAGAAGTGTAAAGTCTTTAAAGTTACCACCTCCTGCAAGTGCTTATATATATGCTAGGAAAAAAAGGGCTGTGGTTATTGAATGAACCACCTGTGTGCCGCCCCATTTCCCATTCCCTTGACACATCTTTTACTTTAGATTTAAAACTTTTGTTTTCTAATCTACACTGTCTCATTAGAGTCTTTCACGAATACTTGATATAAGTCAATTTCTGGCTGCAGAAGACAAATATGTAATCTCTTTTCTCTATGTGATGACAGTTTCTAAAATGTTCTTGAGTGGCATTAATTTGATCAAGTATATGGTTAATTATGGCACTAAGTTCTGAAAAAATATAAATTTGGTATTTTAGGCCTGTGGATTTTCTTTCGGTGGTTTGGTTTGGTTTGTTTTTTGTGCGTGGGGAGGACCTCATGTGCAGAAGGTTGAGTGGATCATTCCCCTTAATTTATTAGTGTTTTAATGTCACCAGTCCATGAACATTCTTTTTTTTTTTAATAAGTGTGGCCTGAATTGTGATAGAAGTTAGAATGATTGATTTTAAAATTTCTTTCATCTATAAAAGTTGGTTGGAGTAACATCGAATTCTCAAACTCTAGAGGATAGGGACACCTGGGTGGTTCAGTAGGTTGGTAGCTATCTTGGTCTTTGGTCATGATCCTGGGATCCTGGGATCCAATCCTGCATTGGGCTACCCTCTCCGGCTACCCTCTCTGCAGGAGCCTGCTTCTCCCTCTGCCTGCTGCTCCCCCTGCTTGTGTGCCTGCTCGCTTGTGCTTTGACAAATAAATAAGTAAAAATCTTGAAAAAATAAATAAATAAAACTCTAGAGGATATACGGGAGAGAAAAGTGGTTTAAATGTTCCTTACCTTGCAAAATGTATGGTAAATGTTACGTATATTGGAAACTTTCTGAGGCTGAAAAGCTGTATACTCAATACAGAAAAAATATTACAGTTTTTAGAGAGCAGTGGTGAGGGCCAAGGTTATTTTATAAGGAAGTTAACATTATGATAGCCTGGGTATATTTTAAGGGAAGAGAAAGAAAGCCAGGCAACCTTT